ATACTATCTATTCGATACGTATACTTGCGTAGTAGAATTTTAACTGACAATTAATAACTTTTTGTTTTCAAGTACCTTCGAGCATTGTTTTTGGCCAACCTCCTTTCAATAGATTAATACTCTTTAACTAATTGAAGCTTCTCTCCTTTAATACTTAATTGATTAAAATGGGCTCTTACCAATTAAGAATTCTCAGCTTTAAATCTCTTGGTTTGGGACTTTGGATGGACATCAATATTTTGAATTTGAATTTTGGCGCTTTTTGACACCTTAACTTTCACCTTTTACTAGACAACTCTTTTCCTTTAATCAATTAAAAGGCTTCTGTTTTGCATCCAACACCCACTTAACTGATTACATCTAGTGTTAACTTGTTAAGATGTTCTAACTGTCCTTAGTTTGGCACCTAGAATTGCTTTAATTGATTAAGGATTTGTGTTAATCGATTAAGACTAATTTGTCTTCATTAAAGCTCTATCTTTTTTGCTTGTTTAACTAATTAACCCATCTTGCAACTGAACAAGCATCTTAACTTGCTTTCAAATACCAAACATATTAATGAATTTAAGCTTGCTCTTATAGACTTAAATAATATAATTATGCACTAATGAATGGGAATGCTTTGTTATCATTAAAAATGCATGGGGTCAACATTCTCTTCCTCTTATTTTTAATGATGAGGAAGCACTCCTAGATTAAGAGTGCAATGTCTATGTTCAATATGAATGCTTCAAATCTTTATGCATAATAAGAATTGTTCCCCCTTAGTTAATGCATCTAGTTTTCTTTAAAAATTTACAATAAAAATATTTATAATATCTTATAACACACCCGGCTTTGATGGAAATGATGTGCAATGTATGTTAAGCTGTTTGAATGAACTAATGATATTTTGATGTATGTGCCTATGAATTTAAAGAGTGCCGATGTCCACAAAGTGATGATTATGAAAATGTATGAGTATGTAAAGACTCAAATGATGTTATGCATATGCTTGGCACAAGAATAAGATAGAGCATATGTTGGCACTTAAATGAGTATGCTATGAAAGCAATTATGTTGTGTTTGACTTACATGCTATGTGACATTGAGCATAGATGAGTAATTAAAGTATATGATGAGTTTATGTGACTGATGTTAAGAGAATTACATGGTATCATTTGATGATCAGTGACTCTGTCGTTTGCTTCAACAGTGGGCATGACATGACTCCACTGTTTGCTGTGGCAATGGGGCATGACATGATGCTATATGTTGTTCATCGGTTCATTACCATAAACGACTATGAAAATGTCTAGAGAGGATCACTCTATGATGTTATGAATATGTAGGGGCATGCCATAGGAATGTATAATGCTTACGATGATATGTTATGTTATGACTTTATGATTAATGTAAAGGCTTAAGCCAAGAGCCATATGAAAATGTTATATGTGAATCATTATGCTAAAAGCTTGAAGAGCCTATGGCTTAGTATTGAGGCAAGCGTATAAAGTAAGTATGATAAGTTACATATGGAGATAGCTATATGGTGGGTCGGTTCATACAAAAGATTGAATTGACAGATGGTTATGTTGATGATGATGTTAAATTGATAAAGTGAGGATGATTATGCCACCTTAATTTGTTAATAGATGGAAGAATCCAGCATAATACAGCTGCCACGATTATGATAGACTATGTTTGGTAGGTGACATTCGACTTGTCCCATTGTGTACATGCTTGAGATGTATGATATACATGCATGATTAGAAGATATGAGTAGCGACTATCCCTACTCATTTACAATTGTTTTATGCTCTCACTCACTGAGTACTAGTGTGACTCACCCATTTCAATTATATTGAGCAAATAAATAGACTTGAAAGTCTAATGGCTAGCGTTGTCACTTAGACAGATATGTAATTTGGACAATTGGTATGTTATCATGTTGATGAGTATCTCTGTTGAGTCATAGATGAGTCCTTATGCTTCAGTAATGTATAAGTGGTTATAAATCTAAACAAATTATGTGGGCACTGTACTACCTTATATGACTTCATGTATTGAAATGATTAAAGACTTAATGTGATGTTAGCCGATGTATGGTTATGTGGATTCCATGTTTGAGTCTTGGATGTTATTACGAGCCAAAAGGCTAATGTCAAATATTAAAGATGTTAAGTTTAATGAATGATATTGGCCAAAAGGCCTTATGTGAATGAATTATGTTGACCAAGACTTATATGTAAGGGCTTCCTTGAGTCTCGCTAGCTTGCCAACTAGGCTTGTGCATTCCTATCGTGGAGCCCCAAGTTTGGGTCATGACAGACTTAGTATAAGAGCGCATACGTGCTAAGAAGTCCAAGGTTAGTTTATGTCATTAGTGGAGTAAGTAAGGAAAAGTGTAGAGACTTGTTCATGCCTTGTGACTGTAATACAATTCATAAGCGAGAGGCTACACAAGCCCCTAAGTTATGTAACATGCCACCTATGATTTTTAAATAAAGATTTGAATATGTTTTTGACTTTGTCGAGTAAAGATGCTGCCTAGGAAAAGAGCTGCCTCAAGGGCTACAACAAAACATGAAGCCCCTGATGAAATTATAGTTAGACCATGGGCTTCCTCATTAAGAAGTCATGGAAAAGCTAGAGCTGTAAGACGTGCTAGACATGTAGAACCTAGTGAAGCACACATTAGTGATGATTATGAGGAAACTGAAGATGATCACACGACAAGAAGAGGTGTTACTTTAGAAGATTTACCTACAGGGCTATAGAGTTTGGCACACAAGCTTGCCGAGTTCCATAGTAGGGGTGAAATATGACCAAAGGAATGGATAACTATTAGTTTCAAAGACCTAGAATATATGCCATTAGTGGAACAAGGCAGTGGGGTAATTAGGGTGACACTAATAGATTTCATGAAACTTAAGCCCTCTGTGTTTTTTGGCTCAGACGCCGAAAATGATCCACAAAGATTCTTAAAGGATATGGAATGTATATGCTTGATGTTGGGATGTTCCAGCCAATGATCAGCTTAATTAGTGGATTCCGACGAAATGATGTCGCCCGAATCTGGTTCGTGACCCTTAAGAGAGAAAGATCAGCTCCATTTACATGGGATGAATTTATTCAAGCATTTTTGGGCCAATTTTTGCTTGATAGAGTGAAAGATAACAAGGCGCAGGGATTTAAGACCTTAATGTGGGCCCTTGTTATGTTGGTGATGAAATATGATATTTAGTACACCCAATTGTCTTATTATGCACCTGACATGGTCCTAACTAAAAAAAAGAGGATCAAGAGTTTTGTCAAAGGCTTGATAAAGCCGTTATTCAGAGTTATTACTACCTAAAGGTTTGCCACTTATTTTGTAGTGATAGATGTGGCCAGACTGATTGAGGGCTATAGAATAGGGACTATGATAGAAAGGAATAGGGGTCGAAAAGCTAAAATGGAAATTGAATGAGGCTAGAGGGATTCCAATGAGAGACGAAGTCCAATTTTATAGGCCATTAGGGCCTAGAAGGAACTACTCTTACACGTAGATCATCCCAAAATAGTTATTCTTTTAGTCTTTTTGAAAGGCAAGAACTATTCAATGGAGCATTGAATTTAGGCCCTAGACAAAGAGGCATCTTATCTAATAACTATAGCAAGGCACATGGTGGACCGTGCCTTAGATCAACAGGGTTATGTTTTAGATGTGGGTAATCAGGACATATGATGAAAGATTATCCAAAGCCCAAACAGTCAATGGGAGATAACCATGGCTATATGCAATTGATGGAAACTACACCACCCAGGGTGACGCCTTATACAAGAGATGCCAAAAAAGATAAAGGTAAGGGAAGAGCCATGTCATCCTGAGGCAAGACAGAGTAATAGGTAACACTAAAGGTGGTCAAGCAAGAGTGTTTACTCTGACACTAGGTGATGCTCAGGCCGTAAATGTAGTGGTTACAAGTACACTTTATGTTTATGGTACCGAAGCTTTGGTATTATTTGACCCCGGATCGACGCATTCATTTGTATCACCTTAATTTGTGTAGAGATTGATCTATGTCTTTTTGAAATGGAAGAATCTTTAATTGTGACTACCCACTTGGAGGAAATGTTTATGGCAGAATACGTGTATAAGTCCCACTTTGTCTGTATAAAGGACAAGGACACTTTGGCAAACTTGGTGTTGCTAATGACACTGAACTTTGATGTGATACTAAGGATGGACTGGTTAGCATCCTGCTTTGCTAAGGTGGATTACTATCATAAATTAGTGAAATTCAAGTTCTTAAGGGATCCATCATTCATAATTTATGGGCATGGTAGCCCTATATTAGATGAGGTTTGTACTATAATATGATATTGGGAATGGACTGGTTAACATCTTGCTTTGCTAAGGTGGATTGCTATTGTAAACTTGTAAAGTTTAAGTTTTCAATAGAACCCTAATTTATGGTTTTTGGGCATGATAGCCCAGTATCAAAAGAGGTTATGTCAAATGTGGCCACTAGAGAAATGTCAAGACAAGAAGGCCTAAGGTGTCTAGCAAAGGCAAGAGATGCTTTAATGGATGATGAGAGTGTGGATTATGTACAGGTAGTGTGTGAGAATTTGAATGTATTTCCAGATGAATTGCTTAGATTGCCTTCCAAAAAGAAGATTGAATTTTATATAGATTGGATTATAGATATGAAGCGAATTTATATCCCTTTACATCGAATGGCACCAGCTAAATTAAAAGAGCTTAAGGAGTAGTTGAAGGATTTATTGAACAAGGGCTTTATACACCCAAGTGTCTCCCTTTGGGGAGCTCTAATGCTATTCGTATAGAAGAAGGATGGTAGCCTTCAGCTGTGTAGTGATTATCGGCAACTTAATAGGGTCACTATGAAGAATACATATCTACACCAAAGGATCCATGATTTATTTAATCAGTTGCAAGGTGCAGTATGCTTTTCAAAGATTGATTTACGCTTGGGATATCACCAATTAAGAATTTAGAAAAGTGATATACCCAAGACAGCGTTTTGCACACACTATGAGCATTATGAATTCTTAGTGATGTCATTTTGACTCACTAGCGCCACTATAGTGATTATAAATTTGATGAAGAGAGTATTTTGGGCATATTTGGATAAATTTGTGGTTGTATTCATAGATGGCATATTGGTGTATTCTAAGAGCTCAGAAGAACATGCGCAATGCTTGCAAATCATGTTTAGACACCAAAAGAGCATAGATTGTATGCTAAATTCTCAAAGTGTGAATTTTGGCTAAATAAAATTAGTCTCATGGGGCACGTTATGTCTGAACAAGGGGTACGAGTTGATCCCAACAAGGTAGAAGTTGTGGAGAATTGGCCGAGGCCAACATCTGTAATGAAAGTTAAAAGGTTTCTTAGGTTAGGCAGGTATTATAGACGTTTTATGGAAGATTTATTTAAATTGCATCCCCTTTGACAAGGCTAACTCAAAAGGGAGTTAAGTTTGATTGGTTTGATACAGGTGAAGCTAGCTTTTAGAGGCTTAAATCTTGTCGTACTTCTGCACCAGTGTTAAAGCTTACTATGTGCGTCCGAAAGCTATATCATGTATTGCAATGCATCATGGGTCAGATTACATTGCATGTTGATTCAACATCGGAAAGTTATAGCATACTCCTCTCGACAATTAAAGAGGCATGAACAGAAATATCCTATGCATGAATTAGAGATGGCAGTGATCGTATTTACCTTAAAAATTTAAAGGGATTATTTGTACAGAGGGACCTACAAAATATATGCTGATCACAAAGGCCTGAAATACATATTTGAGCATAGAGATTTAAATTTGAGACAACATAGGTGGTTAGAGTTATTGAAACCTTATGATCGCACCATACTCACCATCCCGGCAAAGTAAATGTGATCGCTAACACCTTGAGTTGGAAGTCGATGGGGAGTTTAGCACATGTAATAATGGAGAAACAATCTTTAGTGTGGAGTTTGTGTGATCTGGGCGATATGCGAGTACATTTTGAAGTTAATAATTCGAATGCCTTGTTGGCGCATTTTAAAGTTCGACCAATGATTTTAGATCGAATTAAAGCTACCTAGGACTAAGATGAATTTGGTGAAAATATTTTGGGACATGAGTGAAAATAGAGCTCGAGACTTTGTGTACAGCACTGATGGTTTAATGAGATATCAATCACTAGTTTACATGCCAATTATAGATGGTTTAAAAAATGAGATCTTGGAAGAAGCTCATGCGGTAGCCTATGCAATACAGCCTGGAGCACTAAGATGTATCATGATTTGAAATCTATCAACTGCTGGCCAAGATTAAATAGACATGGTTAAATATGTCTATAATGACATGCCAACAAGTTAAGTTGAACATCAAAGACCTGCGAGACTACTACAACCATTACAAATACTCGAGTGGAAGTGAGATCATGTAGCAATGGACTTTGTGACAGGTTTTCCAGGAGCTAAGGGTGGGTATGATGCCATTTAAGTGATAATAAATCAACTAGCAAAGTCAGCTCACTTTTTGCTGGTCAAAACTAAATGTGGAGTAGCTCGGTACACCTAAATTTTTATTAATGAGATTGTATGCCTACATGGTGTTTCGATAACAATAGTATCCCATAGAAGACTGTACTTCACAAGTCAATTTTGGAGGAAACTGCAAGAGACCTTAGGCACAAGGTTAGACTTTAGTATGACTTTCCACCCACAAACGGATGACCAATCTGAGAGCATCATTAAGACGCTCAAGGATATGTTAAGAGCAATTGTGCTTGACTTTGGAGTCTCATGGAATCATTATTTACCTTTTGCCAAGTTTTCTTATAACAATAGTTATCAAGCCACCATTGGTAAGCCACCATATGAAGCTTTGTATGGGTGAAGATATAAGTCGTCTATTTGTTGGCTTGAACTTGGCGAATGAAAACTCCTAAAATCGAAAATGGTCCAAGAACTTGAACAATGCATCCATGTGATATGAGAAAGGATGCTAACAACTTAAAGTTAACAAATATCTTATGCTAATAATAGGCGCAGACCTTTAAAGTTAGAAGGTTCAAAAAGAAAGGGAAATTGAGTCTTAGATACATCTGACCTTTTTAAGGTACTAAAACGCATTGGCGTAGTTGCTTAGCACTTGGTATTATTATCAAATTTATCCAATGTTCATCCGGTTTGTCAACTATCCATGTTTAGGAAATGTACTTCTGATCGTTTCCATGTGATAAGATATGATGAAGTCTAGTTACAAGACAGACATAGTTATGAGGAGTATTTGGATCGGCCAGTAAAATTGTTTTTCGCTGAAGACATTACCACTATAAAAGTGTTGTGGCAAAAGCATTTGGTTTAGGTAGCCACATGGGAATTTGAAGAGGAAATTTGAAAGAAGTATCCCTATTTATTTGAGGCTTAAAATAGTTGTAATGTGTACTATAATTAAATTCGGGGATGAATCTCCTATAAGAATGAGAGAATGTAAGACCCCCAATTTTTAGTGTAAACTAAGTTAACTACGAATGATTTATGAAATTTATTATGCCTTAAGGACTTTGGTGATATGTTAAATATGCTAAGTGTAGGAGAATATGCTGTTAACACTTAAACAAATTTTTATGAAAATATGTGATAACTCCTATAGCTTGAGGTTTTAATTTAACTTTTATGTGATATTCAAGGATATATGTGTATGGATTTGAGTTATACTAATTGGTTGTAGTGTGACATCAATAGTGAATGATTTTGGGATAATAAGTTTGGATTTTTGGAAGTTTGAAAAGCTAAAAATCAGCTTACAAGGAAAAATGTATCGATATATTCTTGGTAGGGTGAACAACATACGACGTATGAAAGAAATTATATCGATACATTCAAAGTAGGATGAACATCTATCGATACAATGTCCAATGTATCGATAAATTTGAAGTTGAAAGCATCCAAGGGAAAACGTATCAGTACATTTCCCCATGTATTGATACATTTTTGGGGAGTGGGCATTTTGCCTAAAATCTATCAATACATTACCCTAGTATATGAATAAATTTAAGTGAGACCCATGAAAATGTATTCATACATTCCCAAATGTATCGACACATCACTAGGTAAAGCAAAAATAAAAAATGTCAGGTTATTCGCCCATTTTAAAACAAAGCCCTAACTCTTCCTCTCTCTATAACCTACCAAAATCCTAAGGCCCTAAATAGACTTTTTAGCTTATTCGTGGTAATCTAAAGCTTGGGAATTGCTTCTAAAGGTAAGATTATGCCTTTTTACTGATTAGTTTTCAATTTAATCGGTTAATAACTTAGAAATCTAATTTTTCAACTTTGGTGAATCCTCCTTAATTTTGTTGGAATTTGGAGTTTAGATTCATGCAATCTATCTTCTAAGGTATGGGTTTAGCTCATTGTTGAAAGATTTGAGCTTGAATGTTGGATTGCTAAGAATTAAGTTATTTTTAGAAACGTTAAATATTTTCGAAAGCTCGGAAATAAATAATATTTGTATGTGCTGATATGTTTAAAGGGAAATTAGAGTTGACTAACTCAGTATGAGCTAAAGGATGGTTGGAGGCTAGAATTGGAGTTTGGCGGTGGAATGTGCCTTTTACTGTCATTGTTAGTGGGTTAGTTTAAAATACATGTGATATATGACGCATGAAAGATGCGTTACACTAGTTCTAGATTTTGTATGTAGGCTTAAATGAACATGCCTAGGCTAAATAACAAATTTTTATATGAATGTACATATAAATATATGATCATATGTCTTGTGATGTGTTTGCATTAAAGCAAGCCACGTATCGACCTAATTTGTGTGAACCTGGATTAGTAAGTTTAGAGGATACAATGAGTGTCTAGAAGTAGATCACCCTAGACAATTGACCCTTGATGGGTTATGAGCTTTTGATGCCTTAGAGATTTAGAAGCACTTAGAACCATATCAAGATTATAAACGATTTGAAGGTTGAAAAATGTGATTCATGATTGGATGTAGACAAATGGAATGCCAAAGGCATGATGGGCTTATTTGTGGATTTGTATTCCATCTGAGGATGAATTTCGGATGTTGATTTGATTTGAAGTTGAGTAGAGTCTTATCCCCCTGTGATTTTGTTGTATGCATGCAAATATGGTGCTAAGTAGGGACGATGGTATTAGTCCTGCCTATGATCCTCGCTTGCTTTTATGCCATCCATTTAAGAATACTCTAGGTGATGTCGTTTGTTGGGAGATTACTCCAAACGATGATTCTGATTCTCTGCTTGTTGCTTTAGCTTGCACATGATTTGTTTCTCCACCAATAGCTTTGCCTTAGGCATAATTTGTCTCCACTGATTGGCCACTGTGCATGATTTGTTGATGTCCATAGGAGGACTACTCTATGATTGAGACTCAAGTGTGTATGACATGAGATAGCCTCACATAGGCTTAGATAATTATAATTTGAATCTGATACAATACTCCAGCGACTAGAGTGTGTAGTCGAGGATATCTTTAAATGGATGTGAAGACAAGCCTAGTGATACGTATGATATTTGAAAAAAATCCTTAAGGATGATGATTTCCCTTAACATTGGTAAAGTTTGCCAAAATGTTTGGTTACGCTGGTAATGCTTTGAAATAATTATTTGTTTATATTTATAATTTTGTTTTATCTGCATAACTTATTGAGTACTAAATGACTCACTCATTTGTTATACCACGTGCACATAAATAGGCCACCAGACTATATGGTAAGGGTT